CACTGCAGAGACACTAGTGTACAGAATGTTGTCTGGGCACTGCAACATACACGTGAATGCACACCTCAACCAATAGGATAAGGATCCACTGAAACTGAAACACTGCAGAGACACTAGTGTACAGAATGTTGTCTGGGCACTGCAACATATACGTGAATGCACACCTCAACCAATAGGATAAGGATCCACTGAAACTGAAACACTGCAGAGACACTAGTGTACAGAATGTTGTCTGGGCACTGCAACATATACGTGAATGCACACCTCAACCAATAGGATAAGGATCCACTGAAACTGAAACACTGCAGAGACACTAGTGTACAGAATGTTGTCTGGGCACTGCAACATATACGTGAATGCACACCTCAACCAATAGGATAAGGATCCACTGAAACTGAAACACTGCAGAGACACTAGTGTACAGAATGTTGTCTGGGCACTGCAACATATACGTGAATGCACACCTCAACCAATAGGATAAGGATCCACTGAAACTGAAACACTGCAGAGACACTAGTGTACAGAATGTTGTCTGGGCACTGCAACATATACGTGAATGCACACCTCAACCAATAGGATAAGGATCCACTGAAACTGAAACACTGCAGAGACACTAGTGTACAGAATGTTGTCTGGGCACTGCAACATGTACGTGAATGCACACCTCAACCAATAGGATAAGGATCCACTGAAACTGAAACACTGCAGAGACACTAGTGTACAGAATGTTGTCTGGGCACTGCAACATATACGTGAATGCACACCTCAACCAATAGGATAAGGATCCACTGAAACTGAAACACTGCAGAGACACTAGTGTACAGAATGTTGTCTGGGCACTGCAACATACACGTGAATGCACACCTCAACCAATAGGATAAGGATCCACTGAAACTGAAACACTGCAGAGACACTAGTGTACAGAACATATTGTACGGTATAACAATCGATAAACCAAACGCTCTGAATGTGAGCACTTATGTAACGCCACATAATGTTGCACTGTCTTGAACACACTACATTTTGGATGTTATGTAGTACAGTTGAACCTCCGAACAAGGGACAATAGGGGGCAAAAGATTTTTTGGTCCCTTGTAGAGAGGTCGTCCCTATCTCGGAGGTCAAATAATACACTAAAGTATTAGCATGGGGATGAAACAAGTGTCCTTTGTAGAGAGGTTGTCCCTATCTCGGAGGTCAAATAATACACTAAAGTATTAGCATGGGGTTGAAACAAGTGTCCTTTGTAGAGAGGTCGTCCCTTATCGGAGGTTCCACTGTATATGTATAGAACATACACCTATTGCAGCTAGAAATGCAGGGAGATCTGTGGTGTTGACAAAACAGTATCTAGCAGGAAAATGTTCTTCACACTCTCTCTGCACTCTTCCCTCTTCCCTCCTCCTCCCCTCCCTCCTCACCTTGCCAGAGACAGACTCTCCGTCGAGGTAGAGAGGTAGCTTTTCCTTCTTCCCCTCCTCGTTCTTGACGTCCACCTTCTTCCTCTTGTCGCCGTCTGCCAGCTCTATGGCTATCTCAGCCGAGGACCCAAACCCCAGGAAACTCTGTAACACACACAAACACACACCGTATTTTCCAGAGTATAAGTCACACGTTTTATCGAGAAATTTGCTTGAAATTTTCGTCATGCGACTTGTACTGCAGATGCGAGAAAAGCGCGTAGTTTGCCCTCAAAATTTCCACGGTAAAAAGAAGAGCTGCCCTAGGTGGGATTCCAACCCACGACACTGCACTCTAGGAGAGGGTTCTACAAACTGAGCTACCGAGTTTTACAATGGCAAACCTCAAACCACTGCGCTATGGTCATACAACAGCCCTCGAAAGCAAAAAACGAAACGTTGGTTGAAACGAACGAGTTAAGGCTTCCATTACAACAGCTAACATCATACAGTCTGAGAGAGCAACACCAGAGCCTATGCCACAAACACATCAGTAGGTATAAGTATAGAGTATAGAGTATTGATGATAGAATCGAGACAGAGTAAAGTTGATAGTGCATAGTTGACATGATACTACAGAGTCCATGGCCCATTAGGAAGTAAGGTTAGAGTGCCTCTAACGCTGCTTATGATGGGGTCCGGCTATGACTAGTGGTAGTCACACTGTTCTCTTCTGTACGCAGATTACCGACCGAGCTGGTGGTATACAGCTAGCTACATAGATATTATGGTAGGAAGCTTACACTAGGGAGACAGGGAAAGGTAGGGAGCTATTCATGCGGCTACAGCAGCTATCATACATCTACAACTTCGCGGATATAAAAGTCGTCGTCCCGTTCTTTGCTGGAAACGAAGGATGGAAGAAGGCTGCCCCGCCCCCTTCAAAAGGCTTCCCCTCGCGGCCCGAGACCCACGCACAGGCCCAAGTTATTTAACAACCGCTGATGCGTGCTCCACTTACCATCTCTCCGGCACTTCAGGGGAGTCTTGTTTTAGGAGAACTGCAAAAAAGTTGTAGAAACACAAAAGCAGGGTCATGTGTTTTGCAAATTTTTCGCGTCGCTTTATTAGAACATACGGTCAACCACGTGGACGTCTACACGAATGGCAGAACTGAGTTTGTCCGAAAGACTGCGGATCGTGAGCGATCCCCGTCCGGCAGAGTTTAATCCGGACGAGGAAGACTGGGAGCTCTTGTCCGGAACGAGGCTGAGTCAGAGCCGCACGTACGATGACCAGGGAACTGCCTTTAGTAGCTCCGTGGGGAGAAAGGGGGGCGTGTCCTCGGCTGGGTCCAAGATAAGGGTAGCAGCGGACGAGACTGAGCCTGACCCACAGTATGCCGGGAGGCCTGTTAGTAGGAGAGAACTGTTTGGAGCCACAGAGGATGGTGAGCTATATGTACTATGTGTGTGTGTGTGTGAGAGAGAGAGAGAGAGATCAGAGTCTGTTGGTTTGTCTTGCTGTTGAAGTCAAAAGCTGTGAAGTTGGCAAATGTGTGCTGTTGTTTGGCCTACAGCTAACGAGGAGGTGGAGTTAGAGAGTGAGACTGACCAATCAGACGAGGAGTTGGAGTCAGGTGACAACCAGGAGGAGAGAAGAGGTCGTCTGGGACCACTTCGACTGAGCTTTTCAGTCAGTGAGAGTGAGGAGGAGGAGGAGGAGAGGGGGGTCAGTGATGAGGAGGAGGAGGGAAGGAAGGAGGGTGGGGCGGAAGAAGGAGAGAGGGAGGAGGAAGGAGAGAGGGGAGGAGGATTTACTGCTCTTGCCATGGACAAGGTTCAAGAGGACATTGACAAGGGGAAAGCTGTCAGAGAACAGATTAGTGCGTCTGCCACACACACATTCACCCGCTTCCACTCCTTCGGTTCTCTTGCATGTCCAAACTATATGTTTCTACACACCCTCTTAATAGTAACCACCCGTGACACTCTGCAATCTGTGAAAACTCTACCAAGACTACTGCACGATAGAACGCGGAGGGAAACGAGCGTGTACTACCATAAAAGGAGTGGAATGTTAATCCCGTATTATGTAGCTATATAAATGAGGTGTGGGAAGTGCACATGTATCGAAGGTGTTTAGCACACTTTCACTTGCGTACTATATTCCGCCCGTCCCCCAGTTACACATTCAACCTCCACGTTCTATCATGCACTATTGCTATGCTCTACCCGGAGCTCATGTCTCTCTCTCTCTTCTCCCTCCCTGAAGGGTTGTGGGATGGGATGCTGGAGGGAAGGATACGACTCCACAAGCTCCTGTCTCTGGCTAACAGTCTTCCTCAGAGTTCTCTCGTACCCGTCTTCTTGAGTCTCGGTGGAGAGCCTGCCTCCTCCTCCAAGGATACAGGTAAAGGCATGCACGAGCCGCGAGGCAAAAGGCAACGCAAGCACAAGTCAATACACCAAACAAGAGCTGAGAATAGAGTTATCCTAGGTGGGATTTGAACCCACGACACTCTGCCGTCTAGGATGAGCGCTCTACCAACTGAGCTACCAGGGCACCTCAGCTGGCAGGTGCTCAAATCAAAGGACAAAGCCAAACCTGAGCTAACTATATTATGACCACCTTCACTGTGGCAGAGTTTAGAGGAACTGGATTGACCTAGGTGTAGGAAGGTTTAAAATCTGGAGTGTTTTATTTGCCATACTTCATTTTTGTTCCTTGTGTGCAAAAAAAACACAATAACAAACACCTGTCCAGGAGACATCTGCCATTGTCTCGATGTGTCAAACGGGAAGTTTGTCAACATGCGCGAAAACCTTTTTGGATAAAGTAAAACCATTCCATTTTGAAGGAGCTGTGAATCCATTCTGGTGTGTGTGTGTGTGTGTGTGTTGTGTGTGTGTGTGTGCAGTCGGAGAGAGCTGAGGAGCCTGCTGGACTCCATGCTACGTCTCCAGCAGAACCTTCTCTCCAGACACACGGACACACTGTCTCAATTGGCCATGGGGTCCTCCACTGGTATTGGAGAGAGAGAAGAAGGGCTTTGTCCGATGACGATGACGAGGATCCCTAGTGATTTGGGGAGTGATGAGGAAGAAGATGAGAGGGAGGGAGGAAAAGAGGGAGCTCTGGTGGTGTGGGGGAAGGGGAGAGCCAAAACCAAACGAGGCAGCGAAGGAAGAGAAAGTGTCCATGGGTAAGATAAGATCTGTTGTTTCTCGGTGTCTGGCCATTAGTGTTGTTAAAACACACTTTATTTTCTACATTCCTTTGTTATGCCGCAATTATTTGTCCCATTTTCCTCTCAAGTCTTAAGCAAACTTTCCCCCACCTCTCCTTTTACTGTTTGACTTGAGCACCACCATTGCCACTGTTGGGAAACAGAGTGTGCCTACCTAGTTGTCTCAATGGCCTACCTAGTTGTCTCAGTGTGGAATTTGTGATGGCCACTGCCACTGCCCATGCAGCAATGTTTTACTTGTGCAGAGAATTGAACTACTCACATTCGCTCGCCAAAAGAATGTGTTGCATTCGCTCTAGTTTGATCCTTAGCAAACTGCATGCAAAACCTAGATGGCTGGTGGGTCAAGGGGGAGTCCTAGGGTCCGCTGAACACCCCTTTTGAAGCGAATGACATGTATATCTACTGCAAGAGGGTGTGGCTTAAATTCTAGCAAATGCACCTTTTTGAAGAGCTTTGATCTAGCGACATGTCTCTCTCCCTGTTCCCCCCAGAGAGCCAGTGGGTATGAGGACTACATATCAGCCGTACACTCGTCGTGCCAGAGCCACCAGGACGACACCATCTCCAAGTGGGACACCAAACTGAGGCTGGCCAGTGGGAAACTCACCAGCAAGGTGTGCGAACAGTGCTTGAGTGATGTGACGTAAGCACTGGCTTAGTGATGTGAGCGTGTAGGTGCTGGCACAGATGGCTTTCTTCACCCGGTTACCTCAGACTAATTACTCTGCAAGTTGCTTGTTATGCGGTGGGTGTCCTATTGTTGCTGGTTAGGTTTTATCGCAATTGAGACCGTGTGTTTGTGGTTGTCTGTGCAAATTTTCCCTGTTCTCCTTATGAGCTACTGTAGTGTTCAAACCTTATCGCATGCAACTTGGGTCTCTCTGTTGATCGTAAGCTTATCGCTATTTTTGTTGCACAAAATAACATTAGGTAATGCACTGCAACGTGGATCTACTAATAACTATTGTTCATACTTGTAGGTTCATTGCCATTATTTTCATGCACATGATAGCATTATTCCAAGTTGTTGAATACCTCGATGCACTGTTTCTCTCTGTTTCAGGCCTTTGTACAAGTGGACCGATCAACAGTGGCACAGATAAAACATGTGAGTTTTTTTTAAAAACTTCGATACTTTCTGCTTATTGCATTCTCAATGGCCACAGAACCATTCTGAGAATGGTATAATATGTACCAAAACTGTTAGAGAGTCGGTTTCCATTATGTGCACATACAGTAGCAGTTCTGTCGATCAGGTCCCACTATGAGCATGCGGGAGTGGTAAGAGACAGAGGAGGTTCGACGGGGTCAAAAGGTCGACTAATCAGGATCACGTGTGCCATAAGAGATGTATAGCGATTGTCGTTTTTCACCACTTTGCCCCTCGAATGTCGTCTTGGCTGTGGATTCATCTCTGAATAAGCTATCGGATACATACCTTGTACCCCTCGGGTACAGCTGTAGATACCCAATATTATTATTGAATATTCCAACTGTTTACCTCCGAAAGCAGACCTACACTCGTACTTGAGAGCCTGTGAGAGCTAAAACCTAAGAGAGCTTTGTCCGTACGAGAGATAGAAGCTCCATCTGGGGATAAAAGACGTACACATCGCCCCAGCAGGCGAAAGTATGCAGTTCTATTCCAGTGCGTGCATCCGACCTGGTTTCCTGTCGAACCTCCCTAGCTCCTCTGGGTAACACTCGAAACTGCTGCATCGGGTTTGAAACAGTCCAGAATGGCATGAAATCTAATTGCACTTACTCCCTACAGTCTCGCAGGAATGTTCTCATTCTGCTACTTAGTGTAACTGTTGCCAGAGCTACATGTATATATATCTCCAATTGGGGGACAAACAGCCACCTAGCAACATTTAGATAACAGCACGTCTACCATTTTGGGGTCAAAGTGTCCCCTGGGAAGAGAGATAGAAGGACTATACCCCCCTGCATGGTGCACTCTGGCACTATGAACACACCTAAAGGCCAAGATATACGATGCAACCTTGTCGCGCCAGAAAAACTTTAAATGTAAGGGTATTATGGGTCCACTGCACGCTATTTCAGGTCTATCATATCCACACATCATGCTGCACGCTATTTCAGGTCTATCATATCCACACATCATGCTGTACGCTATTTCAGGTCTATCATATCCACACATCATGCTGCACGCTATTTCAGGTCTATCATATCCACACATCATGCTGCACGCTATTTCAGGTCTATCATATCCACACATCATGCTGCATGCTATTTCAGGTCTATCATATCCACACATCATGCTGCATGCTATTTCAGGTCTATCACATCTGAAGTTGCATGCAACTGTCTCGTGCAGCAAAGTTGCATCACGTACCATAGTCCTATATAGTCCCGAGCACCTCTCCTGCCCACTGTCACAGGTGCTCCAGGACAAGGAGCGACTGGTGAAGAGATCGCAACTGAAGAGGTCAGTGTATCGCGTCCTCGGGAAGAGAGAGGAGGCGGAGGATGGGTCACATGACAGTCACCTGAGGTCACATGACGAGGAGATATATGACGAGGATGACTTCTACCATCAGGTATGTAAGATGGTTGGAGAATGTTGCCCTCCGCAAGTAATGCTATTTTTTCTCACCCTCTTTCTGCTGCCTCCCTCCCTCTGTCTTCTCTTCCTACTCCCTCCTTTGTCCACTTTCCTATGTCTCTATTTTACTCCACCTTTTCTTATACCTATGTCCCTCTCTCTCCCTTCTTCCCCGTCACTATTGTTAGCTGCTAAAGGATCTCATTGAGAGGAAGATGAACCATGCCGAGTCAGCAGATCCAGTTGTTATGGGACGCCAGTGGATGGCACTCCAGAAGCTGAGGTCAAAGGTCAAGAAGAAGGTGGACACAAAAGCGAGCAAGGGCCGCAAGATAAGGTGACAACAGTGTCCATTCATATTACAGTGGAACCTCCGAACAAGGGACACTGTGGGTCAAATGATTTTGTCCCTTGTAGAGAGGTTGTCCCTATCTCATAATACACTAAAGTATTAGCATGGGGTTGAAACAAGTGTCCTTTGTAGAGAGGTCGTCCCTATCTCGGAGGTTAAATAATACACTAAAGTATTAGCATGGGGTTGAAACAAGTGTCCTTTGTAGAGAGGTCGTCCCTATCTCGGAGGTCAAATAATACACTAAAGTATTGTATTAGCATGGGGTTGAAACAAGTGTCTTTTGTAGAGAGGTTGTCCCTATCTCGGAGGTCAAATTATACACTAAAGTATTGTATTAGCATGGGGTTGAAACAAGTGTCTTTTGTAGAGAGGTTGTCCCTATCTCGGAGGTCAAATAATACACTAAAGTATTAGCATGGGGTTGAAACAAGTGTCTTTTGTAGAGAGGTTGTCCCTATCTCGGAGGTCAAATAATACACTAAAGTATTGTATTAGCATGGGGTTGAAACAAGTGTCTTTTGTAGAGAGGTTGTCCCTATCTCGGAGGTCAAATAATACACTAAAGTATTAGCATGGGGTTGAAACAAGTGTCTTTTGTAGAGAGGTTGTCCCTATCTCGAGGGTCGCTTATCTGAGGTCCCACTGTAAACTTTAGCAATGTTGTATACATTTTATGATATCACAGACGTATTTTCACTGTTTTAGCAGCACACACCTGCCAACCTTATTCACAAAGAAATCCCAATTTACGAAAGTACAGTATGGGGTTGCCCGTTCCGTTGACCCCTGTTATAGTCATCTTGTTCATTTCTCCTTGCAGATATGATGTTCATCCGAAGCTTGTGGGGTTTATGGCACCTGTTGAGCAAGGAGAAATGTCCCACTCTGCCAGGTGGCCATCTCCCTTCCTTTTCCCCTCCCTTTCCCTCCCTTCCTCTCTCCCTCTCTCCTCCCTTCCTCTCTCCTTCTCTCCCTCCCTTCCCCTCTCCCTCTCTCCCTCCCTTCCCCTCTCCCTCTCTTTCTCAGTCTCCCTTCCTTCCATTTCTCCTCTCTCTCCCTCTGTTTTTCTTTCTCCCCCCCCCCAGCTATTACCCCCCTGTGTTTGTTTCCCACAGAAACGATCTCTTTGTCTCTCTATTTGGAGCACACAGTCAACAAACACTCAAACCATAAATAAACTGACGCTCAGTTGTTTATTATCACAATCCTCCTTTCATCGCATTTCTGCTCTTATTGTTATGACATGGTAGTGACACATGATGAGTAAAGAAGATGTTATCATTTTTTTGATGATCGAGTGGTTCAGGTAGTATCTCTTCACCTTCCTTTGACCACTCTAACCTGCAGTTGTGGTTTGTAAGGTCCACGGGGTAGAGGGTGGGGACCGGTGCTGGGGAGTTTGTAGAGTGATGTCATTTCGTCCAGTGATGACATCATTGCCGCATGTCTAGTCCTTAGGACGTTGATCTCCTCCTGTGTTCTGTACACTGCAGCCAGAACCTCTGAATCTATCACCAACTGCATGAGGGATCGAGGAAGACACTGTTTAGTGGAATGCCATAATGTTGTATATACTAGGATTCCAATAGTCATGGAATGTGTAGATTATCAGAGAAGAGCAAAAACACAGGTGCATAAACACTTTACTGACCTTGCTTGTGGAATGTTTGGGTTTCAATACTACAGCATAATGCATAACACAGTGAACCTCAGAACAATGGACCCAACGTTAGTGTCATTTGTAGAGAGGTTGTCCCTATGAGGTCACTAAAGTATTATATAGCATGGGGTTGAAACAAGTGTCCTTTGTAGAGAGGTCATTCATAGAGGGTCCCTTATCAGAGGTTCCACTGTACTGGAGTGACCTGTTCCTCTCTGGTTCTGCTGGAGTGGGACAGGTCTAGTCTGGACAGTGACAAGTTGCTCCTGCTCTCCTGTGACAATCCCTTCTCCCTCCTCCTCCCCCTCTCACCCTCCTCCCCAGCCGACAGTGGCACCTCAAACACACCCATCCCCTCCCTTCCCCCTCCTCCCACTGGCCCCGCCCCTTCACTCATGTCCCATACAGAGACTCTGGAGGCCCAGTTGACCCTTGACCTCTGCCCCCCTCTCTCTCCCTTGCTCCCAGTGGCAGAGGTCTTCCTGAACTGCTGTGGAACGACATGGAGGTTGTAATGACGAGACGACACTCCACTTCTGAACTGCCTCCTCGGGACCTGGCCTTCCTCCTCTGACCCCGCCCATTTTTCTGGCCACGCCCCCTCCTGGGAGGGACTCGGAAGAGGTGGTGATTCTGGCACCCTCTGTTCTCCTCCAGACTCATCAGCTGGTGACTCTACCTCAGGTGTTGATTTGTAGGACTCACTGCTAGAGTTTACTAACTCCTGTGAGACTGAGAATGGGTCGTCCAGTTTGGTTAGTGGGTCGTCCCGTTTCGTCAGTGGATCGTCCGGTTTTCTAAACGGTTTGTCCAGTTTCGTGAGTGCGTCGTCCAGTTTGCCAAGCGGGTCATCCAATGTGGCGAGAGTGTCATCCAATATTGAGGACTTGCGGGATTGAGTATCGCTGGGTACAGAGAACGGGTCGTCCAAATTGAGAAACAGGTCATCCAGATCTCTACTCCTCTCTCTCCTCCTCTCTCCACTGAACATACTCAGTGGCTGAGTGTCCACCTCCTCGCTCCCCTCCCCCACTCCATCCCTCTCCTCCTCCTCCACCTCGTCACAGTAAGAGAGAACAGTGTGGCAGACTCTACCGCTCTCATTGTCATCTCTGCGGTCACTCTGACTGGGAAGAGAGGCTGGAGACTCCTCATGGTCCCTCCTCTTCTTCAGTGGTGGCTGAAATGTTGTTCTTCTGCTCCTCTTCCCTCTCACCTTCCCTGCGGCTGCTCTGCCACCCTGTTGGCAACGGCAACAGAGGGAATAGATTACAATCACCAAAAGAAGACTTACCTCATCCTGTTTCTCATTTGTAGCTGGCTGGGAGAAAATGCTATCCATTACTGAAAATCTTGGGTCATCAAAGTGTGTGTTCCTTTCCTATGATGATGCCGCGTTCGTTTTTCCCGCGCTGCGCGCGCCGCGCCGTAATTGCCTCACAAGTCACGCGCATGCGCAATAGAACAAACTCGGCTGCTTGTTGGCCTTGGGGAGGAGCTCGTTTTTCTAATTAGCCCGAGCAAAAACTCTCGGCCCACTTTCTTCACGCGCTGCTGCAGCTAGAGAGTTTACTTTCGCAGGGAAATCGAGCGAAGCAAAGCAAAGCCAGATCCGACAGCGACAATGTCTGCAGAAGAAGAGCAGGTGGTAACGGTGGAAGTAGACGTGGAACCGAAGGACGAGACTCCGAACGGAGGCGTGGAGGCGGCCGAGAGCGAGACAGCCGCGCCGACAGCTGCTGAGGAGACGACGGCTAACGGAGGGACAGCAGCTGCGACAGAGGAGCAGCCGGCGGGAGCTGACGCCGGAGGAGAGGACAGCGGAACCGAGGACGTAGTTGAAGCTAACGGTAGGAAATTTTCTCTCACTCTCAGAGGAAGGGAACCGTTTCAGATAAGGGAAAATCTCCGCCAGCGGTAGGCGGTAGCTACATAGCGAGACAAGGGTTCTTTGTCTGTATATATCTATTCGTTCAAATGAATTTCCTTAGCAAAAAATACCCTCTTACCAGATTTCTGCAAGAATAAGCCTATTCTATAGGATAAGAAAGTTAGGTGTGTCTGTTACTACTTTATCCTAGGGAAGACTGTGAATGGAGTGCACCAGGAGGTGCAGACATCTCCTGAAACAAAGGCCAATGGAGAGGAAGTGGTGCAGGAGAATGGAGAGCGTGAAGCTTCCCCTCTCCCAGGAGTGCCCATCCACAGTAAGTAGCTGCAGATACAGTGAAAATTTTTTGTTTTCAGGGGAAAGACTGGTGCATTCATTAGGCACACCTGTAAATGCTATTCCTGCAGTCTGTGCATTTTTAGGCTGAATAATCTGCAAGCAGTGCTAATAGGTAGTGCATAGTTCAAATAGTTTGCATCCCTATACTTGAAGCCAGGGCTAAGGGCTACACTTGGTTGTTGGCTACAAGAATGTGCCACCCTATGGTTGCCATAGGGAGAGCTATCACTCTCAGCTCTATTCAGCAAGAATCCCTTTTGATGCCTACTTGTGGGCTAGAAAAATGTGTTGCCATAGAGAGAGGTATCACTCTGTAGAAAACTCAGTTTGCAGCAAGAATCCCTTCTGATGCTGGGCTAGAAAAATGTGCCAGTTGCCATAGAGAGAGGTATCACTCTGTAAAAAACTCAGCTTGCAGCAAGATTCCCTTCTGATGCTGGGCTAGAAAAATGTGACACCTTCTGGTTGCATAACATAGAAGTGATATCACTCACTAGAAAACTCAGCTAGTATGAACCTCTTTTGGTCTGTATGTGAGAACCATATACAGTGTGGCTGGAAATTGGTGGGTATTCTGGCAAAGGCTTTGTGTGGGCTCCTCTACTCAATTACCACCACCTCTGGTGCTAAAGGTGGCACATAGGAGTCAATAGATATTGTTAATAGTGAGGTATGATAAGTATATGCCACCCAAAAGAGGTGGTGGGAGTTAAATTTCTTAGAAGCTTAGTCCCAATCCTTGTCTGAAAGAATGCACTTTACCGGGGTTACTTTACTCCTAAACAAAACAGGTCAAGCACAAATACAAAGAACACCACAACAAAAAGCAAAGTGTAATTTTTTAACGAATTTTCCACTATAGAGATGAGTATATAACCCTTTCACTGCTTTCTAAAGGACACCATAACCAAGGGAAAAACTCAATGACAAACAACACAAAAATTAAACGCCCAAGTGTATTTTAACAAATTTCCCCTTTCACTGCTTTCTAAAGGACACCATAACCAAGGGGGGGAAACTCAATGACAAACAACACAAAAATAAGTGTGTATTTTACCCATTTCACTGCATTCTCAAGGACACCATTACCCAGGAAAACCCAAAGCAAAAGCAAAGGGTTTTTTTTCACAGTAGAGATGAGTTGGTTAATTAACCCTTTCACTTCTTTCTCTACCTGTGGTCCTCAGTTGGTGAGTACCTGCAGCTGATGCAGGCAGGGACTGACCTACAGAAGGTCCGCAAGTCCAAGGTCTACCCTCGCATCTACAAATTGGACAGCGACCTTCTCGCTATATCCTGGAACTCCCGCAGCAAGAGAGGGAACAAGGCCAGAAGTACGCATGCAAGTTTTACACACTTAGCCCTTAGATTGTGTACGTAGAACTATTGTATGCTTTTTTGCTTTGCCTTTTGCTTGCTATCGCGATGTTGTCACACGCGTCGAATAATTACCAATTGCAGTTGTTTGGCTGTTAAAGGTTGTAATTTTACTAATGAAAAGGTGCGGGCATAGTAATCATCATTACGGTAGCTTCAGTAAGATTTTATACGTTTTCTGTGCTGTCTGTGAGGTATTGTGCGTGGGGCTGGTACTAGATGTAAGCCTTAGTATACGTATATATACATGCCTACTGGAGACCTTGGATTATGGTGTCTAGGTCTGGTTAATTAAGGAAGAAAAAGAGATCGGGTGTTAGATATGTTGGGCGGGGTTTGGCATTCCGGTTGTCGTGGTGACGGACCGTGTGCGGTGTGGAATGTCTACAGTGGAGGGACAATCAGAGGACAATAGCTCCAGTGTCCCCTACAGAGGTAGCCCTTTCAAACTACAGAGTGTGTCGCTACATAAGGATACGGGATACCATGAGTTACCCAACACTGGCTGCCTGGCCATCTCTGTAATATGTGAGGTTTCTCAGATACTATGACCTCACTGCTAGGGCATATAGAATATGGAAGATTTTTATGTTGGAGGGGGGTTGCTTTGCTTTAGAGGAGAGGAGGCATTTTACCACCCCACCCCTTACAAACCCTCTGATTATGGCTCAATCACAAGATTTTAAAAACACTTTCTCTCCCTTCTCCCTCACCTACCATTTATCCATCCACGTGGTACAGAATTGGGGAGGCGATACACGGTGTAGGTAGAAAAGTTGCTTATAATTTGTTGTGCAATATGTTACTGCTGCTTCTCCATATTACCACCAAAGGTATCTTTGTTAGTAACGCTTTACAGGAATAATTCTGTTGATAACATATAGAATTTGACTGCATTATCGTTTCTCTCTCCTTCCCTCCCTTCCTCCCTCCCTCCCTCCCTCCCTCCCTCCCTCCCTCCCTCTCTCTCTCTTTCTTTCTCCCTCTCTCTCTCTCTCTCTTTCTCCCTCTCTCCCTCTCTCCCCTCTCTCTCAGTCGCAGTCAAGCAGATCCAGGAAGTGCGTCGCGGTCGCTCCACAGACAGTTTCAAGTCGTCCAGTCTTGCAGCCACCTTCCCAGAGGAGACTTGTTTCTCTGTCATCTATCTGGATGGAGGGAAGCACCTGTCACTGGATCTGGTGTCCGTGTCCGGTTCCGACTGTGGGGCATGGGTGACTGGACTGGAGACACTCATCAAGGAGAAAGGTTGGATGACTATGACTGTGGAAAATTAGAGAAGGGAAGTAAAGTAGGGGTTTAAGTGATAGTAGGAGAAAGTAAATGTCAACTTGCCACATATTGACTCTGAAAAGACCATGCCGTGGAAGTAGTAGCACATTTAACATGAGCGGGGAAGCAGTGAGATTTTTGTTGGAACCACTGCTTTAGCTAGAACCCTGAGTAAGGTCCTTTATAATTATCTGGTTGGCAGCTAGTGCATGTGCTCAGTGGCGGTTTTGGATTGTTTCTGCCAAATGTAGTTCTATGGTCATTTACTCCTGACGTTCTAGTCCCCATAACCTTATGACCCTAGCAAGTGGGTGTAAATCCGTGCGCTCCATCCATCTTAGCATACTCACCTTTATCTCAAGCTCATCCCCTGTGGAGGTATGTAGTGCTGACAGCAATATTGTGATATGGAGATAAGTATGTGTGTGCATGGGTGTAGACACACTGGCCGTGATGGTTGCGAAAGTTATTAGAGAGTGAGTACAGTGAGTGTGTGTGGGTAAGTGAGTGTGACACCTAATCTCAAAAAAGGGGTCTGTCTGTCTGTTGAGCTAATTGGCGGTGCCCACCTGAATACCTGTCATTCCTGTGGCTGGGTTCCGGTTTCATATAATTATGCTTGAAAAGTCTCAGTCTAAGAATAACTGTTCAGTATTATTTTACCTTATGCGTGCTTCGGCATTAGTTATTGCACTGTGTGTGAGCTGTATATAAAACTTGTTCTGCAGATACGGGATCTCGCAGGTCAAGAGTGAGAGAGAGGTGAGCTCTGGTGGGCCAAGTGCCCTAAACCATACCACGTAACAAAACACTTTCACCAATAAAACTGCATGAAAACAACTTTGGCCGTAGTTGCAAACAGTGTCGGGCCAGAATGCACGGTGTGCTAAAACTGAAGTTGTCACGGCCTCAAAGTGGTCGTTAACCGCCACTTTTCAAGATACGTTTTGTGTCTTTTACTACATATATACAATTCAAACTGCCACCCAATCAAAACAACACACATAACGTATCAGTAGTGATTAATTGGAAGACCTAAGACTGTGCCATGAATGTAGTTGTGTCGGGCCTCAGGAACCACCATTTGGTCTGTGGGGTGTTGCTGCGGTCTGCAACGCAGGAAAAACAATTCCAACCAAGAACTAGTAATATCAAAATATTTTACTCATTATGACGTGACCCCACCACCGTTTCAGATTGGTGTATGAAAAAGTATACGTGTATACACAAAATAAACGTTTGTAGCGTCGCTAAGGATGTCTGCCAGCGTCATTCTACGAGGGTGCTTACGACTGAATATATCAACGACATCGTCAAAATCCCGCCCCCTTCAGCGACAAGGGGGGTTTCCGGGCAACGCGGAAACAGCCTGGTTACGCGCCTGGGTTTGGGTTCAAATCTCTCTGGTAGAGGTCACCTTTGTACCTTTCTTCCTCTCTTTCTGACTACACGTCTTTTCACCAGTCTTTCAAGCATGAGATCAGGAGCGAGATGTGCATGTTGGCCCCTCGTGCCACTGCTTACTCAACAATTCAGTAGAAGACAAAGAGTCCCATGGTTGTGTGTATAGTGAGTTTAGCTAGTGGTAGATAATAGACCCAGGGTATTCACCCTGTAACATACTTACTTACTCCACTGTTGGATGAGATAATAGACCCAGGGTATTCACCCTGTAACATACTTACTTACTCCACTGTTGGATGAGATAATAGACCCCAGGGTATTCACCCTGTAACATACTTACTTACTCCACTGTTGGATGAGATAATGGCTATATATGGCTAACCACTGTGAATGGAAAATTGTCAGTCCAGGTGGATATCTTTGTTAAGTTTAGGAGCTTTTCGTAAACGGATATAACATGAGATTTGATCCATGGAAGGGTGTATATAGTGACATTCTTATTATTAAGCTATATCACGGGTGCTGAAAATGAACAATGACCTGTCGGGTTGAATTGTTGTTTTGTTGACTTTGGAAGGCTTTATGTGCATGGATCACATGGGATTAGACCCATGCCTATCATACAAGGGTCTATCAGTATATTCTGGTATCTTACTACACTGTGAGGGTAATGGTTATGATAATCACGACAGCCGTGTGTTGCAAATGGCCTCCTCGGGTGATTACACTTGTTATGCAACTGGGAATAGCCTACGTACCTCTGTGAATATGTATGTTCTCTTTAATGCCCACATCGTGAAAACTGTTAGTCTAATGGAAGAAGGACTGACACATGTTCCATCAGGTCTACACTCACCCATTACCCAGAGTTCTATGAATACCCACTGCCCATACTTCACACTGAATCGATAGTCTTTCTCCGCCTGGGCAAGAGTGTGAATAACAGGCAGCCTTCTAAAACGGCACACTGAATTATTTAGTAGCTACAGTGTAAGACAAACAATAATAAGCAACAACTTGTAGCTGCTCAAGCTCAGGCCTAGTCAGATGGTGAGCGCAGCACGCAAAAACCATGTATTTACCAAAAGCAGAATGAATGTGAAATCGTTGTTTTAAACAAGATAGTACAGCGTTCAGGGAGCAAATTTTAATGTAACCCTTTTCTTCTACCCCTCACACCCTACCCCTCGCAATAACTGTGTTAACCCCTTTCCTCCGCCCCTCACAACATGTGCATTAACCCCTAGGTGGCTGCGAGATCTGTTTGAGGACGCGGACAAGAATGGAGACGGTACGCTGGACCTCAAGGAAGTGGTGGCCATGTTGAGGCAACTCAACGTTGGCGTCTCCAAGAAGGTCATCAAGAAACAGTTTGAGGTGGGTCTGGGGTCATGTGACTAGTCACGTGACCTCCGGAAAAGTCGCGTGATTCTTGGGAGGTCATGTGATGATCATGTGACTTCCTCCAGGCAGCAGACACTGAGGGATCTGATCAGAAATTGGACTTTGAAGAGTTCTGTGGTCTGTTCAAAGAGCTGGCTTCCCGTCCCGAGGTATGATGAATATCATGTGAGAGTCACATGACCCGGTAGTCTAATCACGTGACTGTCATGTGATCTAGGTGAAGAGACTCTTCCACCTCTACTCCTCCAAGAGCGAGTGGCTCACTCCCGAAGACCTCCAGCGGTTCCTGCAGCTTGAACAAGGTACACCTTGGAATGATGTCATCGTAAAATGAAAATGATGTCATGATGGTGTCACGGTGTTTTAGGAATGGTGGACGTGAGTGTGGAGGAATGCTCAAAGCTGATTGGTCAGTACGAGGCCACAGACCAGGGCAAAGTCGAGGGACTAATGAGCATCGATGGTGAGAATTCAGAGGAGCTAGAAAAGACCAAATATGTGTATTTTTGCTGGAGGACAATCAGCCCCCTAGCAACAAATTTAGATGGTCCCAATAACAGCATGCCCACTACTATTGGGGGTCCAAGTGTCCCCTGGGAAGCATAATCAGGGGGACTATTTACATGTCCCCCTGGTGCACTCTGGTGCCAGCACTGTAATCCTCAAGGTTAAGTGTGTGAGCCTTATATGGTCCCAATTTACAGCATGAAGAGATAGAGAGACACCTGCTATTTGGGGGTCAAAGTGTCCCCTATAGAGGGACAGAAAAAACATTGTCCCCCAATGGATCTCAAACCCTCCCTCCCTCTCTCTCTCCCTCTCTCTCTCTCTATCTCTCTCTCCCTCCTCTCCTCTCATCTCTCTCTCTCTCTCCTCCTCCCTCCCTCCCTCCCTCTCTCTCTCTCTCCCTCCCTCCCTCTCTCTCTCTCTCATCCTCCCCTCTCTCCACCTGGCTGCAGGGTTCACTATTTCCTACTGGGTCCAGAGAATGACCTGTTCAACCTGGACCATGGTGGGGTCTACCAGGACATGACCCAACCTCTCTCCGACTACCACATCGCCTCCTCTCACAACACGTACGTCTCCCTTCTCCCTGTGCACACTTCTATACCTCCTCCCCCTCTATCGCTTCCTCTCTGCTTATTCCTCTCCTCCCTCTCTCTTTTCCTCTCCTTGTCTCTTAGTGTTAGTTCCTCCCTCTCTCTGCTTATCTCCCATTTCTCTCTCTCTCTCTCCTCCCCCCTCCCTCAAGCTCTTTATTTCTGTCACTCGCAGTATTTCTGCTTATCCCTGTCCTCCCCCTCTCTCTTATAATAGCCTTAATCCTCCCTCTATATACCACTATCTCTCTGCTTATCCCTGTCCCCCTCCCCACTCGTCTTTCTCACTCCGTCATGTCTCTCTCTCACTCTCTACTCATGTTCAGCTTGTTGTCGCTTGTCGCTATCACTTGTTGTATTTATAGCGCAGTCTAAAAATAGACTCTATTGTTACATCTCCAAAGACTGTGTGTGTATGCACACATTGGGGTCAGCCCAAACCCCATATGAACAGCTGTGTACCCTCCCTCCCTGTTCTCTTCTTTCTTCTCCTTCCTACTATTTCTCTCTCTGCTTGGCTATTGAACCTTTTCCCTCTTCTCCTTTTTGTCCTCCCCTCCTCCCTTTCTCCTTCCTCCTCCTACGCCCCCTCCCTCTTTCCCTTCCTCTCCCTCCATCCCTCCTCTCTCATTGTTCTCCCTCTCTCCCTCCCTCCCTCCCTCCCCTCCCTCTCCCCCCACAGCTACCTGCTGGAGGATCAGCTGAGAGGTCCATCCAGTGTTGAGGCTTACACCAGAGCACTACAGAAAGGCTGTCGCTGTGTTGAATGTAAGTCCAACACACTTCCTATCATTACAGTACTGTATGTATGGAGGCATTTATGTAAAGTATTCTCCACTCTATAGTAACGTAGTACATAGCCAGAAGGCCTATAGCACTACCAGCTATACTTGTACATGCAGTAATGAGGCACTGTAGATATTCATACTACACATTCTCGGTTTAGTGGACCACAGTCCCTCCAATCAAACTGTTATTAAAGTGAATTCTCTGGTGGCAGTATGACTCTATATGAGTCCTCTAATCGCTGAGTGCAATGGTATCCATACTTCTTGTGGGAGAATAGCGGTGGTCCTGGAGACAATGGTAGACTATAGATACTGTAGATAGAAGATAGACTCAGGGAAGGCCACACTTGCACTGATAGTGCTGTGGAATCACATATATTATGTTGCAGTACCCAGACAGGACAACATGAGCCCTGTAAGGGTGAATGCTGTCCTGTCTGGGTACTGCAACAGATTTGTTGGATATCCCTAGGCAAATGACATGTATGAACCCTGCTTGCACATGTAGGATTGTATAGGCTGATTCCCCCAGTACCTAGCTTCATACATGTCGGTTGCCTAGGGATATCCAACCAATATTCATACATGGCTTTGGTAAGAACCACCAGTCCCCAAGTCTGATACTAACAATGGCGGTTTTTAACCCTTGGTGCATAAGCTGCAGGGCCATGATATATACATACATACATACATACATACATACATACATGATGTTGCTTTGCTGCATGAGACAAAGTAGAATAACATTTCAAATGTATGGGTATGATGGGTCCACGCAACATGTGGCACATAATACAAATGCTTTCTAGTTCATTCAACTTTGTCGATCATCCATCACACCTGCACATTTGGAGTTGCATGCAACTTTGTCCTACACAACAAAAGTTGCATCGTGTATCATGGCCTCTATAGTCTGTATCTCTGTGTGATGTATCTGTTACCGTACAGTGGACTGTTGGGATGGTGTTAGCTAACAGTTTATTGCCCTCCATACAGTGGACTGTTGGGATGGGGTTAGCTAACAGTTTATTGCCCTCCATACAGTGGACTGTTGGGATGGGGTCAGCTAACAGTTTATTGCCCTCCATACAGTGAACTGTTGGGATGGGGTCAGCTAACAGTTTATTGCCCTCCATACAGTGGACTGTTGGGATGGGGTTAGCTAACAGTTTATTGCCCTCCATACAGTGGACTGTTGGGATGGGGTTAGCTAACAGTTTATTGCCCTCCATACAGTGGACTGTTGGGATGGGGTTAGCTAACAGTTTATTGCCCTCCATACAGTGGACTGTTGGGATGGGGTTAGCTAACAGTTTATTGCCCTCCATACAGTGGACTGTTGGGATGGGGAAGACGGAGAACCTGTCATCTTCCATGGCCACACACTCACCTCAAAGATCCTCTTCAGAGACGTCATTTCCGCCATCAAGGAACACGCCTTCGTTGCTTCCCCGTGAGCATTTGTCTGTTTGTGTCAGTTCACATCTCTACTCGGGGCTTTATCGGACTCTACATGAACTAGAGTCCGTGTGTAAACCAATGAGATTGCGCGATTCTAAAACGCATTGTTGGTGAACAAACACAAGTACAAACTTTCAACTTTCAGCGGTTTAAGAATATTTAGAAACACGCATAACGTTATTGTTCAGGGTGACAATTATGGCCGGACAGATATTATGGAAACATTGTAAGTAGGCCTCCTGCCTCGCTTGCCGAAGCACTCTCAAACTGAATGAAAGTCCCACACATGCTTCTACAATGTATAGCGTGCTGTCAGGCATATTCCTTGCTCTGCCCCCCTCTCCCCAGGTACCCACTGATCCTCTCCATAGAGAACCACTGCTCCATCCCCCAGCAGACCAAGATGGCCGAATACTTTGAGTCCATCCTGGGAGACACGCTGTGCCGACACCCCGTCCCCGAGGGAGAGACACGGCTGCCTTCACCCGAGACCCTCAAGGGAAAGATCCTCATCAAGGTCGGTCCATAGAACTGGCTCTGGTATATAGTAATGGGAAAATCTATAGGAACTGGCTCTGGTATATACAGTAATGGGAAAATGCTTCACCAAGATGGCCGAATGCTCCCATGGGAAAATGCTCATCTATAGGAACTGGCTCTAGATAGTATGTAGGTAGTATGAAGGGGAAGACCCTCATCATGTCAGCCAATACATAGGAACTGGCTCTGGTATATACAGTAATGGGAAAATGCTTCACCAAGATGGCCGAATGCTCCCATGGGAAAATGCTCATCTATAGGAACTGGCTCTAGATAGTATGTAGGTAGTATGAAGGGGAAGACCCTCATCATGTCAGCCAATACATAGGAACTGGCTCTGGTATATACAGTAATGGGAAAATGCTTCACCAAGATGGCCGAATGCTCCCATGGGAAAATGCTCATCTATAGGAACTGGCTCTAGATAGTATGTAGGTAGTATGAAGGGGAAGACCCTCATCATGTCAGCCAATACATAGGAACTGGCTCTGGTATATACAGTAATGGGAAAATGCTTCACCAAGATGGCCGAATGCTCCCATGGGAAAATGCTCATCTATAGGAACTGGCTCTAGATAGTATGTAGGTAGTATGAAGGGGAAGACCCTCATCATGTCAGCCAATACATAGGAACTGGCTCTGGTATATACAGTAATGGGAAAATGCTTCACCAAGATGGCCGAATGCTCCCATGGGAAAATGCTCATCTATAGGAACTGGCTCTAGATAGTATGTAGGTAGTATGAAGGGGAAGACCCTCATCATGTCAGCCAATACATAGGAACTGGCTCTGGTATATACAGTAATGGGAATATGCTTCACCAAGATGGCCGAATGCTCCCATGGGAAAATGCTCATCTATAGGAACTGGCTCTAGATAGTATGTAGGTAGTATGAAGGGGAAGACCCTCATCATGTCAGCCAATACATAGGAACTGGCTCTGGTATATACAGTAATGGGAATATGCTTCACCAAGATGGCCGAATGCTCCCATGGGAAAATGCTCATCTATAGGAACTGGCTCTAGATAGTATGTAGGTAGTATGAAGGGGAAGACCCTCATCATGTCAGCCAATACATAGGAACTGGCTCTGGTATATACAGTAATGGGAAAATGCTTCACCAAGATGGCCGAATGCTCCCATGGGAAAATGCTCATCTATAGGAACTGGCTCTAGATAGTATGTAGGTATATGAAGGGGAAGACCCTCATCATGTCAGCCAATACATAGGAACTGGCTCTGGTATTATAGTAATTGGGAAAATGCTTATCTATAGGAACTGGCTCTAGATAGTATGTAGTAGGTAGTAGATTGGTATCGAGTGGAAGACCCTCATCATGCAGGAACTGGCTCTAGATAGTATGTAGTAGGTAGTAGATTGGTATCGAGTGGAAGACCCTCATCATCAGGAACTGGCTCTAGATAGCATGTAGTAGGTAGTAGATTGGTATCGAGTGGAAGACCCTCATCATGTCAGGAACTGGCTCTAGATAGTATGTAGTAGGTAGTAGATTGGTATCGAGTGGAAGACCCTCATCATGCAGGAACTGGCTCTAGATAGCATGTAGTAGGTAGTAGATTGGTATCGAGTGGAAGACCCTCATCTAGATAGCATGTAGTAGGTAGTAGATTGGTATCGAGTGGAAGACCCTCATCATGCAGGAACTGGCTCTAGATAGCATGTAGTAGGTAGTAGATTGGTATCGAGTGGAAGACCCTCATCATGCAGGAACTGGCTCTAGATAGCATGTAGTAGGTAGTAGATTGGTATCGAGTGGAAGACCCTCATCATGCAGGAACTGGCTCTAGATAGCATGTAGTAGGTAGTAGATTGGTATCGAGTGGAAGACCCTCATCATGCAGGAACTGGCTCTAGATAGCATGTAGTAGGTAGTAGATTGGTATCGAGTGGAAGACCCTCATCATGCAGGAACTGCTCTAGATCGCATGTAGTAGGTAGTAGATTGGTATCGAGTGGAAGACCCTCATCATGCAGGAATGGCTCTAGATAGCATGTAGTAGGTAGTAGATTGGTATCGAGTGGAAGACCCTCATCATGCAGAACTGGCTCTAGATAGCATGTAGTAGGTAGTAGATTGTACGAGTGGAAGACCCTCATCATGCAGGAACTGGCTCTAGATAGCATGTAGTAGGTAGTAGATTGGTATCGAGTGGAAGACCCTCACATGCAGAATGGCTCTAGATAGCAGTTAGGTAGTAGATTGGTATCGAGTGGAAGACCTCATCATGCAGAATGGCTCTAGATAGCATGTAGTAGGTAGTAGATGGTATCGAGTGGAAGACCCTCATCATGCAGGAACTGGCTCTAGATAGCATGTAGTAGGTAGTAGATTGGTATCGAGTGGAAGACCCTCATCATGCAGGAACTGGCTCTACTTATACTGAACGTTTGGTAGAGGGCGAAGTACACTCATTGAATGTGTAACATGTTGTTGGCAAGTGAATGCAAGGACGGAATTTCAGTGGGTTTATACTTGTTTTATGCAAAGAAAAATGGTGCGGTCGGTGCCATTTTTTAACGCACAAACGGATACATGTGCAGCAGAATAATTACACTATTCACAGTTGACTAGGTTACCACAGTTCACTCTCCAAATATTTTCACTCACTGTGGTAACTATTATATGCACTTGCTATCTTAGGTTGTTACTCCATTTAAGAATCACGAAATATGCTACAATTCTAGTTAACTACTGTTCCACTGTCCCTATATAGTCTCTCCCAGTCTCTACTGCTATCTTCACACCTGAAATTGTGTTGTTTCGACTGTGGCGTAGTGATAGCTTGTTTAACTCATAGACACAATATAATATGCTTAGCTCAGTTGCACGTAATTTTATTGTGGAGTGGCAGTCACAGAAGTATGTTAACAAGACTATATATACGTAGGGTGTTTTGAGTAAGGTATTATGGGTGGAGCGGTGTTGATGTCATCATTTGGCAGTTGACTTATGTATGTAAGCTTGTCCTTCGCCATCTCGAAAGTTTCCCATTCAGCCACACACAGACACAGTTGAAGAACAGAGCATTAGTTTAGGGAAATCTATGAATAGTGTTGAGGTGTTGAATTACTCCTGGCTCTAATTCAAACGCTGCGTCCGTCTTCAGATATTGACACACACAGACATCATCAAAGGCTAAAGTCGTTGTCAAAAAGTCATTCACTAGGTGCAGGAGGAATTTGCCCCTTCATCCCTATACTTTCCCCAGAGAATTGTCCTAGATTGTAGTTAGAAACCGTTAGACAGCGAGTTCGTGAACTCTACCCGTGTTAGGGCCCTTGTGTTGTAGCGTTCCGAGTGCAGTGAGGACACTACGTGAAAAGCCTGAGGGTGTCTAACGTGCACAGATTTCAATGGACGAGATGCCTAACATATTTATTATGCATTCCAATCGACGTGTACTTGTTTTTCGACCTGCGTGTGGTGCACGGGGAAACGGGGTGCCGCGGGAACTTAGTAATAGTTACAGACTAGTTCCTGAAGGTTTTGCCCCTTCCGAGATTCAAATATATTCTCTTACTTCCTCTCTCCCCCTCTCCACCTCACTCTCTCCCTCCTCCCTCCTCTCTCCTCTCTCCCTCCTCTCCCTCCTCTCCCTCTCTCCCTCCTCTCCCTCCTCTCCCTCTCTCCCTCTCTCCACCTCCCCCTCTCCCTCCTCTCGCAGGGAAAGAAGTTGAGTGGAGGGCAAGAGGACGCTGACGATGGCGAAGTCTCAGATGAGGACGAGGCTGCAGAGATCGACACCTCTGAGCTCCAGTCAGAGAAACCTGCTGCCACAGCTGCTGCAGCGACCGAGGGAGGGAAGGAGGCACAGGGAGAAGGAGAGGGGAAGGCGGAAGGAGGGGAAGAGGGGGAGAAGAAAGATGGAGGAGAGGCCGAGGTGGCTAAGGAGGGAGAAGAGGCAGGAGAGGCAAAGGAAGAGGAGAAGACAAACGGAGTCGCTCACACTGCAGCAGAAGCAGCCGCACCGGAGGAAAAGGTAATACCTCACTATTTTGAGTGGCAAAAGACGATTGGTTTACTTTTTCTAGGGTCATATATAGCTAGTGGTTAATGATACATTGCTGTATTCATACAGTGTGGGTTTGACTCCTATATATAGCTAGTGGTTAATGATACATTGCTGTATTCATACAGTATGGGTTTGACTCCTATATATAGCTAGTGGTTAATGATACATTGCTGTATTCATACAGTGTGGGTTTGACTCATTACAGAAGCTTTAGAAACTTCTTTGAAGGTTGTAGATTTTATGAAATTTCGGAAGGATTTTCCCCAAATGAGTGTGCATGAAACAGTGTTCGCACGAAAGATAATTTGCTTCGTAGGTGATTCACGTATTTTGTTGCAAAAGTTAGTAGTTGGTAGTATCCATCACTCCCCACGTGCAGCCTCAGAGTCCGGTCAGTGAAGAAGAGGAGCCACTCCCCAGGACCAGAACCTTCAGTTTCAGGAAGAAGAAGGCTCCTGCACCAGCCACCTCTGGGAAGGTAGGCAGAGAGTCTCCACATCTGCGTTCATGCGTGAAATAACAGCTCACGCTGGACATAAGAACAGAGGACCAAGATCAGCCGAGCCTAAGCATGTGTATGTTTCAACCCAAGCAAACTGTTGCTCCACGTTCAGGTTGTTTCAATTATGCCTCCTTAACTCACTAATCAAAATCCACATTTTTCAGGTGGGGAGATTTTATGGGCTAATGATTACTACTGTTGTCGGCTAAATGCAACTTGTATGAATGAAGAAGATCCCCTATCGTAGTACCATACATATGTCATTGATTTTGTTTCTTTGCCTTTCTACCTCACCTTGTTGTTGTCACATACGTACATCGATCACATATAGCTTGGACCTTTCATTACTTACATCCCTCTCTCTCTCTTCCTCCCTCCATTGTCGGCACCGTAGAAGAAGAAGAAAGTGAAGCTGTCGACAAAGCTGTCCAAGTGTATAAACTACGTACAGTCAGTACATTTCAAGGGATTTGACGACTGGGGAGACCACGGTTAGTGTAATTATATACACTACAAATACGTGTATTACCATGGTTAGTAGACAATAAATAATATTATGGACACATATTGAATACAAAGTGTAGTTGTGTTGTTTGCCTTTGCAAACGTCGTTGATGGAACATGCATGATCCAGGGGTTGGGAGTTGGGTGTCTTTGGTGGTTTAATTACCCCGGTCGGCTCCTACATACTGAGTGAAGAGTATACTGTGCCATAGCACAGTGGTTTGAGGTGTGCCTTTGTGTTGTGTTGTAGATTCGAACACCTATATACCAGCTGAGTTTCCCTGGTAGCTCAGTTGGTAGAGCGCTCGCCTAGACTACAGAGTGTCGTGAGTTCGAATCTCTTAGTTGTCCTGTCCTGGTGTAGTGTTGTTGTGTTGTTTGTCTTTGGCTTGAGACCTCATTGTTGTCACACATATATACATATCCCGTTTTAATACAATAGGAACCCCTGTAATCCCAACATCACCCGCATTGGCCCCGTTGCGCCGTGCTGCATTGCGAGGATAAAATCCACTTCTATCTTCGCGGCAGGACACGACGGGGCAATGCGACATATTGTGAACCTAGCCTAATGGTGACTGTATATCTGAGTGTGATCTCTCTCTCTCTCTCTCTCTCTGTCTATCTCTCTCAGGGGTTTTCTACCAGATGTCATCATTTGGTGAGTCCTCGGCAGTCAAGTACAGCTCTCGGAACACATCCACATCCTTCATGATGTACAACAAGAGGCAGCTGAGCAGGATCTACCCGTCTGGTCGCCGCGTCGACTCCAGTAACTACAACCCCGTGGACATGTGGAACAGTGGCTGCCAGATCGGTGGGTGTACAATCCCTCTCTATAGTTCATTCACATTGAGCAGTTTACAACCGGATGTTAGTACGCGCTCATGCATTAAAACGTGTTTACTACATCTCGTACTAACTCGCAATGTTTTTAATAAGTACCCCTGGCACCGTTTCCCCGAGCAACATAAACACAAGTGTATGTACTGAATAAGTTAGGCAAATCTACGTGTGTTAGTTAGTTAGAAGCCCCCCTCGGGCCCTTCACATAGCATCCTGGCTGGACTCGGAACGCCACAATGCAATGGTGGAAGTATGCAGAAGTTATTAACCCTCGGCGCACATACATTTGCACTTTAGTGCTTTTCATTAACGCAAGTATTGGGGCCAACTCAGCTTGAATAGACTGTAGTAGATATAGTGTCCATGAAATAGTCTCAGTTGTGAAGCCAAAAGGGCCCTCGAGATTTTGCACACAACAATGTTGTAACTCATTATTATGGCTTGCTTAAACTTACACTGCGTCTGACTCCGGTCAATATTGACAGTATGGCTTTAGATACACAGAGTCAACGAAATTCCATCTGCTGCTCTTGAGTTTGATTATAGCACTTAAGGTTGCCACGGATACTTCCTGTTTTGTCCTCTGACATTTGACACTAGGTGTTGGCCGGACAGCCAGATAGAATTTGTTTCTCACTTCTCCACCTCACCTCCCTTGGTGGTCACTCCTTATGTACCTCACTCGATACCTCTGTCCCCCCTCTCCCTTCTCCACCTCACCTCCCTTGGTGGTCACTCCTTATGTACCTCACTCGATACCTCTGTCCCCCCTCTCCCTTCTCCACCTCACCTCCCTTGGTGGTCACTCCTTATGTACCTCACTCGATACCTCTGTCCCCCTCCCCCCCTTCTCCCTTTCTGTCTGTCTGTCTGTTCTCTCCCTCACTTCCCTCCTTGGTTTCTCTCCACCTCACTCCTGCCCCTTCCTCTCTCTTGTCTGTGTGTCTGTCTATCTGTCTACAGTGGCTCTGAACTACCAGACACAGGACGTGTCTATGGATCTGAACGATGGCAAATTCCGACAAAACGGCCAAGCTGGCTACATCCTCAAGCCTCGCGTCCAGAGAGAAGGTACCTGACCTCTCCTTCTCTCTCTTCCACCCTACCTCACACCCTCTCCTCCTTTCTCAGTGAGGATTTTTGCATGAAATCTTCTCTCTTCTTTACAGAAATGTCGCGATTCGACTTCCACGACAGAGCAATGCCGGGACTTCACCCCAAGCTCTACACCATCACCGTATGTCAGCCGTTTATTCAGCATATCCCTGTCTCACTTCACTCCCTCCCTCTATCCTATTCTCATACTCTTTCCTATTCTCCCTTCCTTCCTTCTCTCCCATCCCTCCCTCTCCCCCACTTATTCATTCTTACCCACTTCTCTCCCTCCCTCCCTCCTCCTCCCCCTCCCTCTCCCTCCCTCCCTCTCCCTCCCATCCTCTCCCTCTCCCTCCCATCCTCTCCCTCTTCCTCTCCCTCCTTCCTTCTCTCCCTCTCTCCTCAGGTAATCAGTGGACAGGCTCTGCCCAAGCCACCCGGAGGCAATAAGCATGGAGAGGTCATAGACCCATACATTGTCATCAATACTTTTGGCAGACCTGAGGACCAGTACATGTTCAAGACTAGGACAATCCAGGACAACGGTTAGCATTATACTCTCTTTCCAACTTCTCTCTTGTGTGTCAACACAATTATTGAGACAGTGGAGGCCTGTATACAAGTCATATGTAGCACTATACACATACTGGTCATGGGTTTCAAGCAGGGGAAAAACTGCCTCATATGGTGTGATAGACAAGAGCTGTAGACTATCCCATGATGAGTTCTGAGACTATGACTGTTGAATGCTGGAATATGTTGGGATTGTGCCATTAGAGGTCTACCAATACACTGCATGGTGGGGCAAAAAGAAACAAAGAGTTTAACACACCCATTCATCAGTTATATTGCATGTGACTGTAGAAGCCCCGTTTCTCTCAGTTAAGAAGAAATAGATCACTGGACATGCAACGAGTGTCTGTTTCTGTTCCGTCTGGTCCAGGGTTCAATCCGACGTGGAACCAGAGTTTCTCGTTTGTGGTCCACGCTCCGGACTACACCTACGTACGGTTCAAGGTGATGGACGAGGACTGGGGACCAAATGCTGACGACTTCATTGGACAGTTCTCGGCCCCTCTGGAGAGCATTATGCCAGGTGCGTCCGCGTGGTTTACTGCAGTATACACGTGTGTCATGGGGGGAAAAGAAACTACTAGCTTTTGTCTGTATTCGACATTGTGACTGAAAAGTCTAGTGCATCTAGTCACAGTACACTATGGACTGAGGTATAACTTAAAGACAACAGCCACTCCTTAAGTATAGAGTGATTGCACAATTTCGAGGAAGCCTCACTTATTTACACTTCAATCCTATGGAGACCTTACAGAGGTGCATTCCTTAGAATAACTTCTGACAGTGACTCCCTTACACACACTCACTGTACATTCTTCTTTTCCTCCCTCTCTCTCTCTCTCCCCCTCTCTCCCCTCTCTCTGTCCCTCTCTCTCTCTCTCTCTCCCTCCTCTCCCTCCTCTCCCTCCTTTTTCTCCCTCCTTCCCTCACTCTCTCTCCCTCCTTCCCTCCTCTCTCTCCTCTCCCTCTCCCTCCTCTCTCTCCTCTCCCTCTCCCTCCTTTCCTCTCTCTCTCCCTCCTCTCTCCCCTCCCTCCTTCCCTCCCTCTTTTCCTCCTCCCTCCAGGCTACCGCCACATCCACCTGACATGCAGTGGAAATGCTCTTGAGAACACCTCTCTCTTTGTCCATGTGGGTACCATGGACTACATTGGAGCCACTCCCAAGGCCGGCAAGGGAACCTTCAAGACCAGGAAGAACAGAGAGGTCAGTTCCTCACATCTAATAAAGGATAAAGGACACCTCTCTACAAAGGACACTTGGTTCTGCCCCATCCCTGAATAAAGGACATCTCTCTATAAAGGACACTTGGTTCTGCCCCATACTAATACATGAGTGTATTCCTCCAAATAAAGGATGCCCCTGAATAAAGGGCACTTCCAATGTCCCTAAGGCTAAGGTGTCCGTTATTCGGAGGTTTAATGTGGTGAGGAGTCCTCATTTCGGGGGTAACCAATATTCCTATCCCTAGGGAAAGCTTTTACAAAACATCTCATTTCAGGGGCATCGTAGAGGTTCCATACGTATGCATTGAGACCTTCTTTGCACTATGCACGCATACATTGAGACTTTATTGCATGAAACAAAGTCACCCTAGTGCATGCCAGCTGATCATGTCAATTTCTTCAGTGTTTCAGCCCATCCTGTGAATTCTATTATGTAGCTTACTCCTTTTCTCTACCACCCCTCACATTCTCCCCTCCCCCTCCTCCCACCCCCCTCCCTCAGTATCCAGCCAGTGTGTCGGTGAATTTCCCAGCCATAGACTCCATCTACCACGGGAGTACGCCCAACCTCCGTAGAGCAGTGGACATGAGGGAAGACTACACCTTTGCCTACGTCATGTTCAAAGAGAACTGCGGCCATGGGCCTCAGGTTTGTATGTGTGGGTGTGCGTGTGGTGTGTGCGTGTGCGTGTGCATGCGTGTGTGTGCGTGTGTGTGTGCGTGTGTGTGCGTGTGTGTGTGTACAGAGAGAAAGGTTAGGTTTAAGCGTTTAAGTGTTTGAGGTTCTAGAATCAGTTTTTCTGCAAATGTTTGTGCAGTGGGATAAAGATTCTGTAAAACCACTAAATTTTACCAAATCATGAGCTCAAGACTTTCCACTATCGTGTGATGTATAAGTAGGGAACAATTGGATTATGGTGGCTGGTGTAATCTGTCACATCACAATGAAGAGTGTAACACAAAGGAATTTAGCAGCTATTTGATGCATTCACATGCACACTAGAAGCACTCTTCGGTTGTACTGTTGGTACGTAAAATAAAGCTAACTCCCCCTCACCTGCAGGCTGTCATCAGTGACTGTGTACAGCTAATGGCAGTCAAAGCCAAGACTGCCAACATCAGCATCTCCCTCGATGTGATAGGAGAGGTAAGACCACACCCACCTACACTCACAACAACAACAACAACAGCTCCATATCAATAATTAGTCTCATGCCAAAGACCCACTCATCACGTGGGAAGGGGTCTTGTATCCATTGCCCAATCAGATCACCTAATAGCCAATCAACAACTGTCCACAGACTTTGGTAGGTGTGGCCTCATAAGCATGACATAACTAGACAAGCATTTTGGATATGATGGGTAATACGTCTTTAGGACTAAGTCAAATATTACCAGAAGCTCCTTTCCCCTTTGAGTTTGGAGCAGCTGGGTACGAGACAATCACCCTCTTCTTCCCTCATTTTCCTTCCCCCCTCCCCCCCCCTCCTCCTCCTCACCACTTTCCCTCTCCCCTCCCCCCTCCTCCTCATCATCACTTTCCCCCCTCCTCCTCACCACTTTCCCCCTCCCCTCCCCTCCTCCTCCTCCTCCTCCTCCTACAGTCACAAGCCACTCAGGTCTACAGGGTCGACTACTCCACCAAAACCCAACCCCCTCAGACGTTGGTTGCCATGGTGACATCATTCAACCACCTCAACAAAGCCATTCAGAACCTCCTCGTCAACGGAGAAACCCTAGCAACAGAGGTATGTTGATTAACTGGTGATTTTCAGTGTTTTACAAAACAGTGGAACATGAGACACACTGAGACCATGAAAATTGTCATTATACAAAGTTGTCCTTTATTCAGGGGTTAAATATTACACTACAGTGGAACCCTCTCAAAAGATACACCTGACATACGGACACCTTACTATTTTGGACACTTTACTCTGCGCCATGTTTATTAATATAGGGGTTTCTTATTAGCGAAACAAGTGTCATTTCTTTTAGAGTTGTCCTCTATTCAGTGTCCATTATAAGAAGTTCCACCCACCTTCCTTTCCTCCTCACTTGCAGCTGAAGAAGGCATACAAGGACTGCTGCAGTCACCATGGAGACCTGAAGACACACCTCCAAGAGACAGGGGCCAACTCGCGGAAGATAAACACCACCATGGAGAGATACGGTTACGTAACCTGCACTTTGACCCTGCAGGCCGACCAGCTCCTCCGGTGCAGGGAGACTGCCGCTACTGACCTCAAGCTGGTGAGACTTGATGATGTCACTATGACATCACTGGTAATCATGTCAGTAGATAATGGTAGAACTGTTACTAACGAAATAGGGCCCAGTGCAAATAATATAGCCCTTATATACTGCCATTAATGGTGGTCTTCTGCTTGTGAACCTTTTTCAGTAGATTCCCCATGTAGCTATAATATACATCGGAATCAGAATGCGATCTTTGTTATCGGCAAGCAAACATCATGGTATGCGTGTCAGATGCAGCCAGATGACTCAGAGTGTGCATGTCTCAACAACTTGGTAACGAGGTAGAAAGGCAAGGCAAGGCAAGGCAAACAAGTCAACTACACCCAGGTAGCCTATGCCCTAATGCTATTACTGAGTTGCATTCTCCTAGTAAGTATGAGGAAGGTTAAGGGGTGACTATGTAACAGGTAAAACGGGGAAAAAATTAAGCAGTGAAGAAACTTTGTTGCATGAGACCTTTTTTGCAATATTAACAGCCACACTCTCTGCCACTTGGTTAGCAACTTTTGCCCCGTACAATAGTGGTGCAGTCTTGGCTGTTTGGGGTTCAATAAAGTACTTTCTCTTTCTCCCCTCCCTCCCTCCCCTCCCCTCCTTCTCTCTCCCTTTCCTCCCCTTCTCCTCCTCCTCCTCCACAGATCGGTGAAGCAGCCCAGAAACACGAGATAGAGATGAAGACCAAGATGTAACGATCCCCTCACTCCCAAAAACATTAGCTTTTTTTACAAGTTCCAAAGACAGTCCATGATTTTTATCTACACATACATTATGGACGTTATTGTTGTGTATTCTATAGCTTGTATGTATAATGCTGTTTTATACAAATTTTTACTAAGTGGGGGAATGGCTGGACTTCACTGTGCCACACCAAGAGGTTCTGGATCTAAGATCAGATCTCTGGTAAAGTCGGCCAATCAAAATTGACTCGTTGGGGCTGAGGACGTGTCCATACATTACTAGGACGGAAGAATTACGTAACGTTATATGTGGAAGAACACGTGAGTATATAGCTGCTTGCACCATCCCTCTGGTTTTGAAACACAGCACTTAGCCTTAGACATTCTAGCTACAGTAGCTTAAAGTGTTAGCTAACACGCTATAATGTACATAGTATTGCACATAATTCGCAAAATGAGGCCAAGATTTAGTGCAACATCACATGATCAATGGGGCAACATGATAAGAAACATGATAAGGATGAATATGAATGTGTATACTTGATGAATCTTTGAAGTTTGAACGTGTGACTTAGTGCAGATTTTAAGCCCCCATCACACCCGTGCGTGCGAGAAGGATAATGAAGTTCAGATGACTCGGTAATAGAGCTCCACCCCTGCAACACCACTGCTGTCGGAAGCCCGTTTAAGTTCTGCCAGTGGTATTGACAGGGAGGCAAGGATCTCCCCGCCGTACTTTTTAAAGGTCCCCTCAGTTTCTTCACACGGGACATTTAAATTGTGCGTTTTACCAGAAAACTGGTATCGAATAGGGTAAGGTGGCTCCGTCTTTGACTTGTCCTTGGCCAAAATTGCAATCTTGACTTTCAAGACCTTCTCTTCTTTCTTCGGTTTGAGCCAGAGTTTGAATATACCCTGGAATGCTTCTGGTGTGGCCCATGTGATGTATTCGGCGGTACGGGCAGCCAGGCACACAAAGACTGTGGTGATCAAGGTGGCTTTGGTGAACTGCGTTCCTGAAGGTTCACTTCGGACTAGCTCTCTTACCGCGGAACGCGATATAGGCTCTTGCTGAGTATTAGGTCGTTCCTTTGTGTTACACCCTTGCAATGCAGGGGACTGGTACAACTGTGGGATAAAAGCTAAACGTTGTACATGGAAGATCCAAGTTCGAATCAAAGATCATCTTTGTATTTTCCCCTCATTCGTTAGTTCGTATTAGCATGCGAAAAGCGCTGAGAGGGTTAGTTTGCCCAGAGGATTTTCTGCCATTTCGATTCGCCTGCCGCCGAGTAGCTATCCGGACACACAGATGCGGCTGACCGTTGATATATCTCGCCCTCGATTACGCTGCAGGTCCCCTATGGGGCGCCGTGTGCAAAAAAAAAGTTGAGCGCAGCACAGCCCTCCCAGCTCTCTGCCTAGCCTCGTTTGCACACGTTCTCTAACGTACGTTGTGCTGAATCATTGTGCAAACCCTCAGCGAACTACGCATGCGCGATAATTGATGGGCTGGGCTAGCTTCACGTCACATCACAGGCTAGTAGATAGCACGCGGGAGTCCGTGACTTCCTGAGCCCCCAAGGTACACAGAGCGAGCGGATCTGATCGCAGTAAGTAAGCCCAGTGCGATTATGCATAGTGGCTTTTTCGCTTGGTGAAAGCGCTCTAGCTCTGCAACTGAGCATTTTAGAGAAAACCGCTCGAAATTTCTGACCTCCATCGCTCTCTGCCACTTGGTTAGCAACTTTTACCCCATAAAATACTGGTGCAGTCTTGGCTGTTTGGGTTCAATATTTCTCCCTCCCTCCCTCTCCTCCTCCACAGATCGGTGAAGCAGCTCAGAAACACGAGATAGAGATGAAGACCAAGATGTAACAATCCCCTCGCTCCCAAAAATATTAGTTTTTTTACATGTTCCAAAGACAGTCCATGATTTTTATCATTATGGACGTTATTGTTGTAGCTTGTATATAAAATGCTGTTTTATACAAATTTTTACTAAGTGGGGGAATGGCTGGACTTCATGTGCCACACCAAGAGGTTCTGGATCTAAGATCATATCTCTGGTGTAAAGTCGGCCAATCAAAATTGACTCGTTGGGGCCGAGGACGTGTCCATACATTACTAGGATGCAAGAATTGTACGTAACATTATAATTATGCGGGAAAACACGTGAGTAGCTGCTGCTTGCACCATGAGACCTCTGGAGAAACACAGCACTTAGCCTTAGACCTGCTACGGTGAAGTGTTAGCTAACATGCTGTAATGTACGTATATAGTATTGCACGGAATTTGGCCCCAATGATTAGAGTTTCCTTGAGGGAACACATGACCACCATACACTGTCACAATGTTCATCACTTAACCAGTCATGTATTGTGTCCAGAGCCTCCATAAGTCCATAAGATTTTATATGGAGGTTGTAATACTACTTTAATATATCAATTCAGCAGATCCCCATGGAGTGCAAGGGGTTATGCATACGCGAATATTCAGTAGAATACATCCAAAATCAGACATTGGGTACCAGGGCCCTCTTCCCATAGTTATTTCCAACTTGAGAGCTTTCACCCATGTTGGGTCTAAGAGAGCCAGCTTGCGCACACAACAATACATAGCAATCAGTACATTCTGATATGGTAACAAATTGCCATAAAGTTGACATTACAAATTATACAAAGTCACATAACAATATTGAAAGTGAACGGTCCAGTAATTAAAACTGCACTTCTGTGTAGCATTTAGCACAGACCGGTTTATCAGAGATGACATAAGGGAATTCCAGACGTTGGTACTTGCAGATGTCACAGTGAAATCGAACACTGAAAACATAGCGGCTTCCTTTTTCAGTCATTTCGATAAATGCAGCCAAGGCATCCTTGAAAGATAAATTGACTAATCGTGTTCCACGAGAATCATAGAGGCGGTATGCTCCTTCTCTCCCATACATTTCATCCAATTTCTGGGCTAATGCAGCTTGGTCATCGCATTTCTCTGAAACATTTTCATACACTTCAATAAATTCTTGCAGCTTTTTCAAAAATGATATCATTCTTTTGATTCTGGTCTCATCTTCACGTTGAATGCTACGTTTTCTGTCACTGACTTTTCCCTCAATCCCATGTATCGCTTGTTTGGCTTTGTCTGCCTCAGATCGTAATTGTCGTCCACCCCTAATGCCATACCACAACCCTCCGGCAACCATTGCACCTACAGCGAACCCAATGACACCAAATACCAAAACACCAAATACCAAAGCACCAAATGCCAAAACACCAACTGCACCTCCCGCAACCACAGCCGCAGTTACACCGATTGTTACAACCTGCTGCATTTGAATAACCCCCTGATAATCACTTTTAGCTAAGATGAGACATTCCACGACTTTGTATCTTTTCAAGAGTAGGATTATTTCTTGCTTGTGTTCCACAAAATATTCACCAGCTCTCACTAGTGAACTTCCTTGCTCTTGAACCTTTTTCCGAGCAGGAAATTTAGCCGGTTTCAGTTCCATTCTGAATGGAAAAAGGTTGAGCCTGTACGGACTTTTCACCCATCAGCTTATTTATGATGAGCAATATAATAATATGGTTCATGCAGATAATAGACATAGCATTAATTTTGATGCTTCCGCTCCTCAGAAGTTTAGCACTATTTCCATTGAGTATAAAACGACATAATAAATATGATAATTCAGACATCATTTCAGGGATGCCATGTTAAGAACAAAATGATTTCTGTGTTGGGCATAGCCATCCTCATTTTCTTCTTCAAACAGTATGTCACATTATCTACTTATCATCGAGGCAAAGGCTCAACTACATGTGAGTGACATACCAAATGAACCCGAGGGCTTCCGCATTTGTAGTGTCCCGAGAACAGCGAGTGTACTACACGGATGGCCCGAGGGTTCATTGAAATCCCGTATATAGTTCCCGAGTATACACATAGCACGTACCTTTCAGCTGACGATGTTGCAACTGAGAGGGAAGCTGACGATGTTGCAATTGAGATAGGGGCCACCTTCAAAAGGAATAATGCAAACTTCAACTAAGTTGTAACATTATTCTACCAATCAAACTCACATTAAGCTCTGCCGGTGCCTGATACAAACAATCCCCAGCTATCTCTAGCCTGGCAACACCGAACTCCACAAATAAATTCAGAGCTTTATCTCCTTTCCGACTGAGGGCCTTAATGATGGATATTGGAACGAACCACGTGACTATGAACGACCCCGGTCTAATACTGTTCACCATCATGGCACAACGCTCTAGTCTATACAGTTCGCAATAGCGTCTCCTGAACCGTTCGACTTCCTCCAGCGTGACGTTTTCCGACCAGTCGAATTTGACTACCATATCTCTGAAACCTGGTGGGGGATCACTTTGCGATGAGAATGGCACGATTTCAGCCTCACAGAACAGTCTCAGGGATGTTGTACTTCTAAACCTCTTGATATCTCTTTTGTATGCAGCCATGTCTTCACCAGTAGTCTTGAATCTATCATACTGAGTAGCGAGGACCTCAATGAGTTGGAACAGTAGGTCGTAGGCGAGGTAGTTCCAATAGAAATTCAATTTTCCAAACAATACCCAGTGGTTTGGACACTGTCCCAGGGCTTCGAGGTTCTCCTCAAGAAACACTCTGTGTTCGTCTAATGCTCTAATTGATGTTAGCCAGAACACCATTGAAGCTACAGTAATCTGGCATACTATAAGGGAAGTGATGGTTGTTGTCTTTATGATGTTGAACCTTCGATGAAATCCGTTCACCTGAGACTGTAGTGCTGATTCTGCTGTGCCTAATAGAATTATTACACAATAAGACTCTAAGGTACAAACGTCCTCACTATAGTGGCAGAGGTGGAGGGGTCTGACCTACCACTGGTTGTTAATACACCACCTACCAGCGCCATGCGAATGTAAACACTAAAGTGCAAACCCTTGGCGCACTACGCATGCGCTTAATCGCTGATATTGATGGGATTGGCTACAGTTACTCATGGTGTCCTGCTAGTAGCTTGTGGAGAGTCTGACACGTTCTTTCCTCTGTAAAGTATGCGAACGTATTCCAGGCTACGGTCTGTTGTTTTCTTGCCAAAGCAAAGTTTGTTCATTACTCTCAGGCACTCTTTCGCTGCACGTTTTATCCTCAGCTATACACTCTGCTTTTCTCTAGCATGGAAAAGACATGATCACCACGTTCACACACTTTCCGCCTTCATGTGCAGCAGCCGACATACCTTCGTTGGAAGCATGCTTACTCAAAATTTGGTTAAGAGACAACATGTACCATACCAGAATTCTGAGGTATTGATGCAGGGTCAGGGAAATGAGCTGCTTCCACTCTCCTAGCTAGGTCTGGTAGGTTTACTAAGGGACTTCTGAGAGCTTCCACAATGACCCTCCATGTCGGCCTGGGCGTCACTGTTTGTCTCAAGAATTCGGTTATAACTTGGAGAAGGCGATCGAGAGGGTCAATGTATCTAGAGTGAATCGCCTCCACTTCGTATTGTGGTAGATTCAACTTGAGACCGAGCAAGTGCGACTTGTTCTTTGCTGGCAATAGCTCCTCCACAATTTTTGTGGCATCGTCTGGAGTGAGTACCTCGTCCGCTGCTGTAGCAGGTATAAGTAACGTATGTATAGCCGTATATCATCAAAGCTTATCAATACCTTCCGCCATCAGAGGGAAGAAAGTTTACACCGTTGTGACTGCTCAGCTCAGGGGGCCTGTCCAGTAAGGCGTGGCTACGCGCATGCGCGCATTCTCACCCTCTCCATAATCCACTAGACTGCGGTCACGCACAATTGACCCATCAGATTGCGGGTGGTATATACACCTCGTTTCAGGTGTCTAGGTGGTACAGCAAATTCCCCGTACAAAACAGCTATTGTCAAAAGTTGTTTCATGCGCAAACGACTGATTCCGTATAATTATAAAATGCTGTTTTACTAAGTGGGGAATGGCTGTACTTCATGTGCTCCCACCCACAACTAAGATCAGATCTCTTTGGTAAAGTAGGCCAATCAAAATTAATGTTAGAGTTCCTCGAGGGAACACATGACTATCATACACTGTACAGCCCATCAATTAGGAGTACCACCCGTGTGTGTACTTGTTTCCAATCCGCCCATTACATAATCTGTTTGAGCATGTGCGAGATATTTTCTGTAGCTAACACGCGTTTTCACATGGGCTAAAATTCCTTAGAGAACGTTTACCAAGCCTATTGTTGAGTTAATAACATGGCAAATGTACAGCGAAAGATGTGCTTTACTTGGTAGCATGCTTACCTCGTCTGCAGCCTTTCACAGAGGGCAGTCTTCCTCCTTTGAGTGCTTTTCTTTAACCTCATAATGTCTGCAATTATTCCTATAATGAAAAGCACTAAAGTGCAAACCCTTGGCGAAGATGCGCAGGCTCACTAGAGAAGGGTTCCATGTAAGCAAGAGGTTGCCCAATTGGGTTTTTGGCAAAGTAATATCGAGCAAAGACAGTACCAGCAAAATTGTGGATAAAGCTACCACTGTGTTATACAGCCCAAGCTTTTCATGGAGACTGACAAAAAGGACACGTTCAAAGTAGACACAAAGCTACCAGAGGCCTAAAAATGTGGCTAGAAACCCCTACAACCCCTGTGTGTCAAACAATCACAAACAATCCGTATTTAAACCACTGACAAGTGCGCATATGCGAACATTTGTCCCGTGATCTGTGAGTCACATGCAGTGCCATGCAAATCATGATTTCACTCTGTCTCACTCCTTCCTGGTCTGCAAGTGCAACTAATCACATTCTCACACCTCTTAAATTGAATTTATACTGTGCTACACAGTGCGAATGTATTAAAACATCTAGTCACACCATCTGGTGTATAATAATTCACTGCATCCAATCCATGAATCGTGCAAACACTGCTGTCGACTGATTTTTTAAATACAGTGAATGGAAGAACCGCTTATGTGTGGTCTAAGCTGGCAGCCTTGTGACAGCAGGTGGTCTACGCTTGACACCTTGTGAATAATAACAGCTATTGGATATTGCATAACAGCAGAAATAATACAAGAAACAAAATGGGGCATCTAATTCTCCGTTACTGTCCCCATAGGAACCGATGGACTTTACAAAGTGCAAGTGAAGGTCAAATACCTGAATGCGATGGTTATTTCGATCGCACACATACACTTGGTTTTCATACATTGTTATTCCACGTGGATCATTAAACTTCCCCTTCTCATTATGCTCCTCATCGTCACCAGCCTGGGCCTTTAGTACACCACTGCTGGTGTACTTCTGCAGTTTGTGCTTACTTGTCACATAAATATTGTCATCACTATCAGTCGCTATATCTGCAGGTTGTAATACATCCTTAATTAAAGGGGTTTGGTTAAATTTGTCTTCAATACAGAAGATTGCGCTTTTATCCCATCCACTGACAATCATCTTCTCTGATTGTTTGAAAAAAGCCACCCCATATGGCCTGCCCACTATAGCCACAATTGTGTTTGACTGTAGGGTATAATAGATAAGTCAGGTGATGCAAATTAATTGTAGAGAGTTTTATGTTACCTGGGAACTGGGAGTTTGTAGCTGTTGTTCCTGCAGTAAAAATTGGAGTTTGTATAATTATTTTGTCTTTCAGTGCTCATGTAGCTTACTTGAACTTTGTCCAGGTTCTCTCGAGCCAGTGCAACTTCTCTTTCTACGCGTATTAAATCCGCTTTCTGAAATTACGAACACTACATCATTTTTATTCTAGACATTAAAGAATTTTCACCTTTTGTTCAAGTTGCTGCCTGGCCCTCTCTTCTAGCTCTTCTTTTGGATCTTTATTCTTGGATTTGGGCTGTTCCTCCTATTTAAGTGAAGAAGAGAGTCACTGCATTTCCGGTCTACTTAACTATGGCTTTAGATCCAGTCAGTCTTACTACTTACAATATCGCATGCAAGATTAACATGCTGCGGCTTCCTTTTGACACTTTCCCCTGATGATGTCATTCCAGCATCTCTTCTCATGACAGACTTACACGGACTGTTAAAACAAAAAACACATGGGTTTTCTTGTCATAATAAAATCACGTGACTGTTTTACCTGTGTCTCTGGGAATACAATGTGCATTAGGAGTGCAGCGGTCTCTTCTGCCAATGATTTGAGCTCTATCTCTCTCAGCACAGTAAGGAGAGTGACCCAGGATTGTGGTGTCCTCCCAGTTCCTTCCAACCATCTCTGGAGGATAGCTTTTGTGATTCTATTCTGGTCTGGTGCGTACTGGGCCTCAATGTTGCTAGTTATTGCTCCAGTATCATCATTGAGTAGACATATACCAAGATCGTGATTTTTTACCCCCATTCTCTCAATTATTCTGACACTTCCAAATGCAGTGGTTAAGGTTTGAAGCCGTGGAAGAGTTGGTTGATAGGAAAAGGGAGGTGAGTTATATAACCTTGGAATTTCAACTAACGGCTCTGAATGGATTCTGACAGGTTCATTATCATGCTGTTTGGGCTTGCATTGCAAATAAAAGGAGCTCAATGACCCCCCAGTTATGGGAATACTTACCCTTTCTTCTTTTGGAATTCCACTGCCTTTCCACTCCATGCACAAAATAATTTTTGGGCAAGATATTCCAGGCACAGGCACATATGTATTAATGTCAAGAGTTTTTATTTCTGCTGGTTCAACGTGCGATGTAACACGCCATCCCTCGGACATTTTAGGTAGAGAGAGAACAATTGATTCAGTTGTAGACTCGCATGAGATTGGTATATCCTCCACTCTAGTGTGTGCGATTGTCTGTTTCACGGCTGCTATGTGTGTTGGAAGATTTTTCGTCACCACAAATGTTGCTGTATTGTCATTGTGGTAAAAAATACGAACTGAAAGGCGCATTGGTCGATTAAACAATAAATTCCACACGATATGGAATAAGCTAAACTTTTAGTACTTATTTCGCAATAATCTGATTTCAGTGGAAATTCTCCATCATTTAAATGGCTCAAACCAGTAAGGTGGGCCCTTTACGTGCAACCATCAATATCAGTGAATTTCTTTGTGCAAGATGGCACAATGTTGTATTCTTATTTGGGCAGGAGCAGGCAGTACATTACTTGCTGTGATCCTGTATGTCGCACTGGCTGCTGGCATGAGTCGATACTGTGGTGGCAGGATGCTGAGTTCATCAGCATTAGTGGCGACTGAAACGGATATCTCATTTTCTTCCTTATAACTCGCATCTGGAAAATGCAGACTGATCCCAGCCTCTTCCCATATAAAGTCCATTTTCCCCCCCAGTGTACCAAAATGACTGCTTACTAAAAATAGAAACACCTGAAACTACAATCTTTTCCCGATACCTATATACAGAGTAAGAAACCACATAATATCTTCTTAAACATGCATAGTTGGGGCATAACTATACTTACTTGGATATCTGCTGTTCATTTACTTGTGGATGCACTTTCTTAGAGCAATGCTGTGTATGAGAGAGAATTCACCCAGCTCTCCCAGCCACCCACATCCTCTGTTTTCATAGCGACAAAACACACGAAGTGAATTAACTTGTTTCCTGAAGTACAAGTCCAACATTGTGGTAAAACTTTTTGCTTGCAGGTGGACATGCCCTTCTGCTATCTGTAGTCTGGGTAGCTACCTTTTCAGAGAGATGTTTACCACAACATGATGTAAGGTAAGGCTCAAGTGGTACACCAAGTGTCACTGTGACAGAGGAAGTCTTTAGATGGCTGCTCAACAACTGATAATCTTCCTCTTTTCTCCGATGATGGGCTTGGGTTGACTGACAGATGGTCGGCTGTAATAGTAGCTTAGATTACACTGACATCCATGCCAAGGTGCAATAACTAACCTGAAGGCTTCGATTGGGGAAATGGCTTTGACTTGACTTCCTTATCATCAGCAAAATTATTGCCT